TTGATAACTCAAGTACCTGAGAAACTAAAGGAATGCAATTTTGAGAGGATATACCTCGTCCATCTATGTTTCATTGGTGGCCAATTTTAATTTGTTCAGCTAGAAGCATTTGCCGAAAAAACCGGTAGAACTGCGGGGAACCATGCAAAAAACGCATCTTCGCACGGGCAGCCCGTGCGTTGGCCAATTTTTTTCTCCTTGCTGTGGTAGTGATCGGTGCTGCATTAACTGGGGGTCATTCTTTAACTGATCCTGGCTTTCGTTCTTTTTTTTCACTCTTTTACTTTCATTCCCAGGAGAGAAGTGCTTCATGAGCACTATCCCTTCATCGCTTGTGCGTTCTTAAGCTGATTGAAACGGTATCCTTAAACCTTTTTCCAATGGGTGTTGCTCGTCAAAAAACTGTATCTGGAATCCACAGCAGCAATATTTTTTAGGGGCGCTGAGGGCAACAAAGAGTTGGTCACATGGCCCTCGTATTTCCTTATTTTTGATTCAGTCGACTGGCAGTTGCCTTTGTTTTGAACAATTTTTTCCCGACAGGAGACTCATCTTTTAGCTGATATGCACAAACCAGATTGTTCAGATGAATCGAGGTACTCGTGATGTGCAGGTGGATGCTCATCCACGAGTGGTGAGCAAATATGTGGCGTGCCGACCAAACTCTCGCCATAAAACGACCGACATTGAAAAGGGCGACTTGTTCGATGAGGTTGAAGAAAGGCTCAAGCTTTGTCAAGGCGAACTAAATACAACCCGTCGACAGGTTGAAGTACTGCAGCAAAAGCTTGTCGACACGGTATGTTTTCAGAAGCACGATATACGTCTTATTTCGCAGTGTGACATGTTCGACCGAAAAATTAGAGTCATTCGTAAAAAGAACGTAGGAGTGATATAATTTAGGAATAAGATTCTGAAAAAGTGGGAGAAATGGGAAGAAATAGTTCCTGTACAAAACCACATCATTGTCACTGCAAGGTTTCACATTTAGATACGGTACTTCTCTTTTCCGAAGCTCAGGTTCGCATCGTGTTGAAAGCAAGAGTGTGTTGCCAGTACACTACATCAGTTTGAATTCAGATAAAACTTTTTACGGATTTTATCCTCAGGAACTGACAGACCTATTCTGAGAGGTACTGTGCTGCTGTTTTGGTCTTTAAATTTGGTTTTAGGTAGAGCAGCGATTGGTGCGCGCAAAATTCAGTCCCATCAAAATTCTGTCTCCAGTCAAAGAGCTTAGCATTTCAACAACTGGAAGCGATGAAAGAGACGAATCGCTGACTGCTGATTTGAAGGAGCAGTTGGAAGAGCTAAAAAAACAAAACGAAGATTTGGCAGCCCGCCTTCAAGAAAGTGAATTCGAAAGGCAAAACCTGATAAGCAGTCAGCAGCAACAAATCGCCCAT